GTCCGATAACAGAAAACCTTTTCTCATTAAATCCACCGGACTTGCCCAATGTGTTGGCAAAGGTCCAGGAATTAGAGTCAAAGTCGAACTCAATTTTCAAACAGATACTATGACTTTAAAAATGAAAATAAAAATCAGGGAAATAATTTAAGATTTAATTCTAAGCAAAACACTAATACTAAAGGGAACGGAAATAATTGGAATTATAATCAAAATAATAATTGGCCACAGAATAAGAATTTTTGGCAAAATAATAATCAGAATGCCAATCAAAAAGAACAACCTGTCGAGCCAATGGATGTAGATTCATCGCTCCAATTTCAAAATAAGCCCAGTAATAATTGGCAGTTAAATAATCGAGGTAGATAAAATAATAATTATTATCAAAACAATAATCGCACAAACTATTATCGTCCAAATCAAACCAAAGAGCAAACTCAAGCTCAAACAAGAAAGGAGAGCAAACTTCGGGCGAAGCCGAAGTTGATATACCCTTGCAGAATATTCTGTAAATTATATTCTCCAAAATTATTTATATGATGCATTCTTAATACTCATAAAAAAACCCAACTTCCCAACTTTAAAAACACCAAAGTTATGGCATTTCCAATCGTTCAGTAATATGGCACAGCTATAAGATATAGTCGGCGGATCTTTAAGAAATTTGGTAGGTCGGATTGATTGGCGAAAAATTAAACCCATAGATAATCCCAACTTTCTAACTTTACAAACACCAAAGTTATGGCATTTCCGATCAATCAGTTATATGGCGGCTATAGAATATAGTCGGTCGATCCGACTATATTGATTGATTTATTGACCAAATATAAATCCCATAGAAAATCCCAACTTCCTAACTGTAAAAACACCAAAGTTATGACTTTTCCGATCGTTCAGTTATATGACAGCTATATGATATAGTGGCCCGATACGGCTCGTTCCGACTTATATACTACCTGCAATAGAAAGACAACTTTTGGGAAAGTTTCAAGCAGATAGCTTTAAAACTGAGGAACTAGTTTGCGTAGAAACGGACGGACAGACAGACGGACAGACGGGCGGACAGACGGACGGACAGACGGACGTGGCTAGATCGACTCTCCTGGTGATGCTGATCAAGAATATATATACTTTATAGGGTCGGAAATGTCTCCTTCACTGCGTTGCAAACTTTTGACTGAAATTATAATACCCTCTGCAAGGGTATAAAAAGGGAACTAGAAGGAACAGTTAATCAGCCTGCTAGTAAGGTAACAAGATTAAATAATATCAATGAAGATCATTTTTTAGATCAGACCCCTACAGGGTAATGCCTTATCTTAAAAGAGTGGACAGAAAAACTAAGAAAGAGTTAAATATTTTAATAGACACGGGCTTGCTATATAAAGAAGGGAATTTTTGAGAATAAAAATGAATTATCAGTTTACAAAAAAGTATCTACAGTTCATGGGTATTCAATTATTAAATATTACCAATATATAAATATATTTGGAACAAGATATTTGCTCTATGAAATAGAAGGATTGGAATCTGACCTATTAATTGGGTTTAATTTATTAAGAAAAATCGGAGCAATTATAAATATTGAAAAGAGAGTGTTGGAGTATAAGGGGAATACAGAAAAGTTATTATATTACGATAGTGAGGAAAAAAATGAAACAAGTTTAATGGAAGTCAATAATACTCTTCCATTAAAAGAATTTATTTTAAAAAAATATTTTGATTATATAAGTTTCGAAAACACAGATTCTATATTTGTGGAAAGAAGCGAGAAAAGTTTGGGATCAACAAATCCTGAACGCGCCGACGATGAAATTTCCGTCAACAAAAAATTAAATAGTTTGGGATCAATAAATCCTGAACGCGCCGACAATGAAATTTCCGTGAACAAAAAATTAAATAGTTTGGGATCAATAAATCCTGAACGCGCCGACGATGAAATTTCCGTCAAAAAAAAAATTAAATAGTTTGGGATCAACAAATCCTGAGCACGCCGACGATGTAGTTTCCGTCAACAAAAAAATTATTGGTTTAGGATCTAAAAATCCTAAACACCCCGACGTCGATTTTTCCGTCAACAAAAGAATAAAAAATATTAAAACTAAAAAGCCCAAGCGAAATAAAATGAATAATATTAATATGACCAGTACAAATCGAATAGAAGTACTGGAGAAGAAAATAATTGACATAATCGAGGAGGAACACTCAAAAATAAATTTACAAATTCCATTTTGTACCGATATTCGGAGTGAAATAAACACCGAAAATGACAGGGCAATTTATAGTAAACAATATCCTTATGCCTTATCAGTATCCGATTTCGTTAGTACGGAAATCAATAGAATGCTTAAGGAAAAAATTATAAGACCTAGAAGAAGTCCTTATAATTCTCCAGTGTTAGTGGTACCCAAAAAAGGTCAAAATGAAGATGGCAGTCTCAAACATAGATTAGTAATAGATACCCGATGCAAGACCCGTCTATAATATAATATTAGCTAATTTAGGAAAGGCTAAATACTTCTCAACAATTGATTTGGAATCTGGATTCCACCAAATTTTAATGAAAGATTCAGATATTGAAAAAACAGCATTTTCTATTAATAACGGAAAATTTGAAGTTTTACGAATGCCTTTTGGGTTAACAAACGCACCCAGAATTTTTCAAAGAGCTATGGATGATATCTTAAGAGAACAAGTAGGAAAAACTTGCCATGTTTATATGGACGATATAATTATTTTTTCAAACACTATTGAACAACACTATGCTGATTTAATTAAAAAAATCAATATTTTACAAAGAGCAAATATGAAACTTTCTCTCGAAAAATCTAAATTCTTTATATTAGAAACCACATTTCTAGGGTACATTGTTTCTCATAATGTAATTAAAACGGATCCCGAAAAAATTGTAACAATTACAAAATATCAGATTCCACGTAATATTAGAGAACTCCGAAGTTTTCTGGGTTTAACAGGGTATTACAGAAAATTTGTCCGTAACTATGCAAAAATTGCTAAACCATTGACAAAATATCTAGGAGGGGAAAATGGAAAGGTTTCTAAAAGAATGTCTACTAAAGTTTCAATACAGTTTGACGAATCAGCTGCACAAGCTTTCAACGAGCTAAAAGAGAATCTAATAGCACAAGCCGAATTAGTTCAGCCAGATTATAGTAAGAAATTCGTTTTAACTACAGACGCATCAGACGTAGCTATCGGGGCAGTACTCACACAAGATAATAAACCAATTACGTTTATTTCAAAAACATTAAATAAAACGGAACAACTTTATGCTACAAATAAAAAAGAATTGTTAGCTATAGTATGGGATTTAAAAAATCTACGGAAGTATTTTTATGGATTATTTGGCATAGAAATACAAACGGATCATCAATCCATATCGTTCACAATTTCGGATAAAAATCCAGACGTAGAGATGAAATGATGGTATTCTTTCATTGAAAGTCTTACCCAAAAAATTTTATACAAACCCGGATCAACAAATGTTGTAGCCGATGCATAATCACGAATACAAATAAATAATATTACAAACAGCGACATAGAAGTTTCTGAACAGTCAAACTCAGACCAAGACACACTGCATTCAGCTGAAAGTAGTTTTGAAAATGTAATACAAGAGACCCGTAAACCGTTAAATCCATTTAAACAACAATTGTTATTAACAACGGGGAGGTATACAATACATGAGTCACTGGGCATTTTTGACAAGACAAGACACATAATCGAATATGATACAGTTGAGAATTTAATTAGCATATTAAGAGAGTATCTTCCACCTAACATAACGGTTGGAATTCATTGCAGTTTAGAAGATTTATATCATATTCAAGTTTCTTTAAGAAATAGTTTTACTAACAAATTTCTTTTTTTTAACGCGATTATTTCTACAAGACGTAGAAAACGCCGAAGATAGAGCTATAATAATAGAGGAAACACACATTCGAGCTCAAAGGGGACTAGACGAAAATCATAAACAAATCAGTAGATTATATTATTGGCCCAATCTATTTGTAAAACTAAAAGAATATATAAAAAATTGTAAAATTTGCAATGAGAACAAATATAACAGACACCCTATTAAAATTCCAATTGGGGAAGCCCCAGTCCCAACAAGGCGAAAATTTACACATTGACATATATTATGCGCAAAGTTTAACTTTTACAACTTGTATTGACGCGTACTCTAAATTCCTAGTAGTTAAAGAAATTCAGAATAAATTAAATACCGAAAATAAAGTAATGGAACTACTTCAACATTTTCCCCTAGCCAAAGTAATTATGACCAATATGACCGCGTACTCTAAATTCCTAGTAGTTAAAGAAATTCAGAATAAATTAAATATCGAAAATAAAGTAATGGAACTACTTCAACATTTTCCCCTAGCCAAAGTAATTATGACCGATAACGAACCAAGCTTTACCTCGGCTCAATTTAAATCTTGCACAAAGATGCGGTGTAACTCTACATTACGCAGACCCTCAAACGGACAAGTGGAAAGGACACTAACAGAATTAGCTCGCTGCATAAAAGAACAATTTAATTTAACTGACTATTTCGAAATCGTAAAAAGAGCCGCTCAGGAATATAATCAGAGTATTCATTCCACAACAAACCAAAAACCGGTTGACATTCTTTATAATAAAATCGAACCCGATAATATTCCACAAATATTAAAAAATACACAGGAGAAAATGTTAGAAACACATAATGAAAACAGAAAAGAAAAACAATATCACGTAGGACAAGTTGTTTATGAAAAGAAATATGGAGAAAGAAATAAACTTAAACCAAGATATAAGAAGCAAATAGTTAAAGATGTTATGCCTAATAAAATAATAATCAACAGTAGAAACAGAATTATTTACAAAGATAATATTAAGCATTAATAAATTATTTTTTTTTAAATGTATTCTTTAATACATATTTAATCAATTATAATATTGGCCAGTTCAGAAATAATTGATTACTTGAACCATGAATTTTTTCTGTTCAAAGACAACAAGGATGTACTTACGTATGAATCTTACAACGATTTATTCCACGTAACTAATTTAAGTTTTTATAAGGAAATAATTAATATAGAATCAGATAATATAAAAAAGGATTCAAATAAAAGGTCACAATGGGAAATAAAGTACGACTTAGAAGTAATCGAATTAATCTTATCCCAGTTAATATCAGCTAAAAAAAAAAGAGGAATAAATGAATTAGGCACCGTGTGGAAATGGTTAGAAATGGAAATGGTTAGAAATAGAAATGGAACTCCGGATCATGATGATTTCATTAAAGTACAAAATAAAATCAATGACCTAATTGAAAATAATAATAAACAGTCTGTCGGGAGCAGCCGCAGAAATCAATTTAAAATCATTTCAAAACCATTTATTGTTTTCTATTTTGGTCAGCATCACTGACAACAACAATGTAAACAAAAGCTTCTCATTTATCTATCTGCATGCGTGGGTGAGATAAGCCGAGATAAGCGACTGCGCTCGCTGATCTCTCGGACCTGCGCACTCTCATTTTTGCATTTGCTTTTGATCGCTGGTACGAAGCAGTTCGTTCGCTCTCGCTTCCAGCAATAAAACATACATATTTGAAATCGAACCATACTCTCGGCTTTTTCTTTTAACATTCGCAAAAAAGGTGGCATAAATTAATGCCTCCTCTAAACATTGGTGACCCCGACGTGATCGTGAACTTGTGTTAAAGTGAAGCAATTATTAAATATCGTTTTAATAATTCTAAGCGCCCCTTGCACGTGCCGCGGCAGGGCCACACACACACAAACCTTTTCGCATCGCTTCGCACGGTATTCGCACATACCGACATACATACATACAGTGTACAGTTAGAATCGGCTGCTGTACAGTCTGAACCTTTTGCATAACGGCAAGTGTTATACAACTTCGCGCGCCAGGCAGAGGTCGTTGCCCTTTGTGTTCTATTCCGTCATTACCCTCAAATTCGGTCTTTGGTTTTCGCTGGCCCAAGTGCAGGTGCAGTGCAAATTTCGTGCGGTGACTTTCGAATACCCTACAGACTTTAAATAAAAACTCAAAATGTCAACCAAACATACGAAAAAACCTGAGCTCGCGCCTCACGCTCCAGACGGCGAGGAGTTTTATCGGGCAAAAGCAAATTCTATGGTACGCCAGCTGGCTGCCCTAAATTTATTTCTAACAGAGGAGCAGTTGGCCAAATTCGGTTGCGGTGCGGTTGGATTTAATCGAGCGCATGTACTCTGATTTCGATAGCTCTCGACTTAACCTCGAACGGCTTGTGATCGAGGAGCTGGAGTCGGATGCGCGCTTAACCTTTACCACGGCATATTGTGAGACGAAAGGAAGGATCTGCCGCCATCTCAATAGTGAAAAGAGAAAGTCGTTGGCAAATTCAACTGAGCTGCATGGCATCCTCGGTGGCCACACTGCCGCCTTCAAGTGCAACTCGCGGCCCACCAGGCTACCGGAATTTCAGCTTCCGGATTTCTTCGCCATGTTCAACACGGTAGTGGGAAAGAACGAAGACCTAACAAAGGTGGAAAAATTCCAGCATCTTCGTGCACGTTTGGACGGCATATCGCTGGATGCAATTCGCTCTCTAGAGCCCACGGAAAATAATTACGACAGGGCTTTGGAATTATTAACCTCGAGATTTGATAATAAATTATTGCACTTTCAGGCTCATGTTCGGTCTTTATTCAGGCTACCAGGGGTGGAGAAGGGATCCGCAAGTAGCCTGCGGCAGTTGAGCGACAAGGCAAATTCTCATTTGCGCGCCCTGGCTACTATGGCCTCTACGAAGGAAATCTATGACGGCCTTTTAATCCATCTCATCGTTTCAAAACTGGACATTCAGACCCAGGAGAGGTGGGAAGAAGGGTTGCCTTCCAAGGAGCTGCCAAATTGGGATAAATTCTCATCGTTTTTGGATCTTAGATGCCGCATGATGGAAAATTTGGAATACGCTATGGTAAACCAAGCACCTAGCAAACAGGTTGGAAAAGTAGCTAGCAAATTTTGTCGTAGCACCCTCATTGCTTCATCATCAACTATGCCAGCATGTACCCTGTGCGAGTCTAGGGAACATTATTTGACAAAATGTCCACAATTCTTAGGATTGAACCCCAATCAGCGGTATAGAGAGTCAAAAAGGCTACATCTTTGCCTTAACTGCCTACGAAAGGGACACAGCCTACAGCAATGCAAGTCTGGCAACTGTAGACACTGCCGCCAGAGGCATCATAGTCTTCTTCACTTGGAACCAAATCCCGTTGCAACCCTGCCCCAGCCTGCTCCAGAAATACTTCCGCAAGGATCATCTCACGTCTCTCTAGCCTTGTCCAAAATACAGCCTTTAGCTTCATCGCCGACTAGATCCGAATACGTGCTGCTTGCTACCGCCATAGTCTACGTAAAAAATCGCTCTGGCGTGTTCGTGCCATGCAGAGCCCTGCTCGATTCGGTTTCTCAAATCAATTTCGTCACCTCTCGTTTCGCCAATCAGCTTCAGCTCAAGGTCCATCGGTCAGTCATCTCCATATCAGGAATCGGTGAATCCTCGCTCGCTTCGGATAAATCGGTTTATATTTTCGCGCAGTCGAGTAACGCAAAGTATAGCACTTCGCTCTCAGCTGCTGTCACCCAGTCAATAACCAATTATCACCCGCATTTCGATCTTAACGCGTCTGAATGGAAAATACCGGAAAATCTCGAGCTCGCCGACCCGCTCTTCTACAAAAGTCAACGCATCGACTTGCTTATTGGAGCAAGCATATTCTTCGAGCTGCTTTGTATTGGACAAATTCGATTAGGCAGCAATTTACCCACTCTGCAGAAAACCAGACTTGGCTGGATCGTCTCAGGGTGTCTGACAGTAGGATCTTCCGTTCGCTCATCTTTAGTTTCCATATCTCAAGAGCCCAGCACTCATTCGGAGTCAGAGTCGATATCTGAGATACTAAAGAAATTTTGGGAAATCGACAATTGCGCAGATTCTACAAAAACCATTTCGAAAGAGGAAGCTCTATGCGAGCAGCTATTTCAGCAGGAATACACTCGGCTTGAATCTGGCCAATATTCGGTACTACTTCCTGCCAAAAATAGTTTCGATGTTCTAGGAGATTCATTCGATCGTGCGCTTCTTCGTTTTAAAGCACTCGAGGCCAAATTAGCTAGAAATTTAGAGCTGAAGTCGCAATATAAAGCCTTTATAGACGAGTATCTAAACCTTGGCCACATGTCTCTAGCAACTAAAAATGCTGCAGCTCATCAATATTACCTACCCCACCACTGCGTCCAAAAGTTGGAAAGTACAACGACAAAACTGCGAGTTGTTTTCGACGGCTCCGCGAAGTCCACTTCGGGATATTCGTTAAACGATTTGTTGTACGCTGGCCCTTCCATTCAACCAAAAATCTTCACTACCCTGCTTCGTTTTCGATTTTTCAAGGTTGCTTTGTGTGGAGATATTTGCAAAATGTATCGCTGCGTTCGGGTTACACATCCCCATCAGATTCTACAATGTATTTTGTGGCGCGATCGGCCAGAAGACGAGGTACAAGTTTACTCGCTCGACACCGTAACCTATGGCACGAAGCCTGCTGCTTTTTTGGCAATTCGTGCAATGCAGCAGCTGTCTTACGATGAAGAAGCGGAGTTTCCAGTAGCAGCTAAAATCATACGCACAAATTTCTACGTCGATGATTTAATCGCAGGAGGAGACACCATTGAGGAGGTCGTTGAAATTCGTCAACAAATCAAGGCGCTCTTGGAAAGAGGACATTTCCCAATTCGCAAATGGTGTTCCAACGAACCTGCGGCGCTAGAAGGAGTGGATGACTCGGATCGGGAGAAAACTTTAAAGTTCCACGACGGAACTGACGTTACAAAGGCGTTAGGTTTATCTTGGGACACGCTATCGGATAGCTTGCTTTTCAGCTTCTCAAACGAATAGACTGAAAAACCCGCAACTAAGCGCAGCATTCTGTCGGCTATCGCTAGGTTTTACGATCCCCTTGGATTAATAGCACCGATCATAACCAAACTTAAAATTTTCATGTAGGTCTTATGGAAGGATAAACTCGACTGGGATGAGTCTCTGCCGCAATCTTTACATTCCTCTTGGTTGGAGCACATGTCGCAGATCGCCACAGTTGCTTGCTTGAAATTTCCACGCTTTGTTCTACAGCATAACTCATCGTGCGAAATACATGGATTTTGCGATGCAAGCATGGCAGCTTACGGAGCTTGCATTTACGTTCGATCAGAGAACCAAGGCATAGTTTCTTCGAACCTACTTTGCTCAAAGTCAAGAGTCGCACCCTTGAAGACCCTCACGATTCCGAAGTTGGAGTTATCTGCCGCTCTTTTACTGTCCGAACTTGTCTCTCAAGTGGCACAAATTGCACCTCGATCTTGCTCTTTTCATTGTTGGTCAGATTCGACAATAGTTTTGGCTTGGATCCGTCAACCTCCTTCGGACTTTAACATTTTCGTTTCGAACCGGATTTCGCAGATACAGGAGAGAACTAAGGGAATGACTTGGAGGCACGTACCGTCACGACAGAATCCGGCAGATATCTTATCTCGTGGATGTACCCCTATTGAGCTGGTGGGATCAAAGCTTTGGAGTGAAGGACCGCAGTTCTTACTCACTGATTCTTCTACATGGCCCGATGACGCACCCCCTGTCAAGGAACTTCCTGAGCGTCGACGCAGCGCATTGGTGCTGTCGCAGGAAATAGACATCTCGCAAAGTTGCAAGTTTGGAAACTCGTTTGGGAGAATGCAGAGAGTCTTCGGATATATATATCGGTTCCTTCAAAGGGTCAGCAAGGATCGAGTACGGCATAAAGGAGAGCTTACAGTCGAGGAAATCAAAGGTGGTACTCATCTACTCATTAAAGGGATTCAGCGCGTGCATTTCGCCGAAGATCGCAAGGCACTAACCATGAAGATGAAGCTGTCGCCGAGGAGTAAACTTCTATCCTTAAAACCATTTATAGATGCAGGAGGTCTGATGCGCGTCGGCGGACGCCTTCATAATTCGCAGCTGGATTTCGATGCCAAGCACCCTATAATTCTTCCCAAGTCTCATCACATAACATCAGCTATCATTCATCATTTTCATCGCAAGTTCCTTCATGCAGGAGCACAGAGCTTGTTAGCAGCTTTACGACAGAGATTCTGGCCCATTGGAGGGCGAAAAACGGTTTCTGCTGTCATCAACAAGTGCATTCAATGTTTCAGATTAAAGCCCAAGCTAGTCGAACACATCATGGCGCCGCTTCCGGAGGACCGAGTGCAACCGAATCGCCCATTCGTCATCTCTGGAGAGGACTTTTGTGGCCCCTTTTATTCGAAGTCAGAGGTCAGAAACAGGCCCCCTACGAAATGCTACATAGCCATATTCGTTTGCTTCGTCAGCAAGGCTACACACTTGGAAGTTGTCGAAGACCTTTCAACGCAATCTTTCATAGCAGCCCTGAGGGGAAAGCCTCAAACGATTTGGTCAGACAACGCAACGAAGCTGTTTCTGAGCGATCCTCAAAACATTGAACTATGGAATTCCCTTACGTCGATGGAGATCCGGTGGAATTTCATCCCACCTCGTTCCCCGCACTTTGGTGGCCTGTGGGAGGCCGCGGTCAAATCCGCAAAATATCATTTCATCCGTGTTGTTGGAAAATCGATTCTCACATTTCATAAACTGCGTACTTTAGTTTGTGAAATTTCCGCAATTTTAAACTCACGGCCGCTCTGTCCCATTTCAGAAAACCCAGATGATATTAGTGTTCTTACGCCTGCACACTTTCTCATTGGATCTACATTCACCGCAATGGATGAGCCTGATGTCACCCATCTGAACATCGACCGCTTGAGCCGGTGGCAGCGTGTATGCCAAATGCAGCAAACCTTCTGGCGCAAATGGAGCGCCGACTACCTTTCGCTGCTGCAGGAGCGGACCAAATGGCGCCTTCCTGTGAGCAACATACAGGCAGGAAGCATGGTCCTCATCAAGGAGGACAACATACCCCCTTTGCGGTGGCGCCTCGGCAGGATCGAGAGCACCATCTCCGGAAAGGATGGCGTCGAACGAGTTGCAGTCATCCGAACCGACTCTGGACTATGCAAGCGGGCAATGAGGAAGCTGGCGGTACTGCCCCTTGAAACCACTTCACTTGGAAGCATGACTCTTCCAACGGGGGGAGCATGTCGGGAGCAGCCGCAGAAATCAATTTAAAATCATTTCAAAACCATTTATTGTTTTCTATTTTGGTCAGCATCACTGACAACAACAATGTAAACAAAAGCTTCTCATTTATCTATCTGCATGCGTGGGTGAGATAAGCCGAGATAAGCGACTGCGCTCGCTGATCTCTCGGACCTGCGCACTCTCATTTTTGCATTCGCTTTTGATCGCTGGTACGAAGCAGTTCGTTCGCTCTCGCTTCCAGCAATAAAACATACATATTTGAAATCGAACCATACTCTCGGCTTTTTCTTTTAACACCGTTCACACACCGCATAGTTTAAAATTCGTTAAACATTCGCAAAAAAGGTGGCATAAATTAATGCCTCCTCTAAACACAGTCTATTATTAATTCCAAATTGTTCAAAGAAATAGAATCTCTCTCTGAAGATTTTAAAAAGGTTTTTATTGATCAAGATTTACCACTAAGAAAACATCGCTTACGATTGATAACATTTGATCTACAAAATTTAATTGATACTATCACCCTTGCAAAAATTGACGTTTTCAACACCAAAATTTTAAACACCAAGATATAAAAGAAATATTAAAACACGAGCAAAAGCGAGTAATTATCGCTGACTTAATGGACATCTCTGTGTTCAAAATCGCATTACATAAAGAACTTTTAATAATTTATATAAAATACCCAATAATAAATAATAGATGCGAATTATATTACTCTCGACCCATGTCCCAAATCGATGGAAAATTATTAATAAGTAATCAAGTCGCAAAATGCGAAAATACATATTATAAAATGTCTACATTTAAGAAAGAACTCTTTAATAACTATTGCACTCTAAGTTTAGAAAAAACATGTTTTACCCGACTATTAAACGGTGAACAATCAATTTGTAAAAAAATAAAAGAAAAAAATTTTAAAAAATAGACATTATCCAATTAGGTGGTTCATTCTTAATAACATTTAACGGTACAACCACAATAAATAACGTTTCATATACCAATTAGACAACAAAATTCTTAACTATATTACTACAAACCACTTCAAAAATTATGAAATATCCGATTATATATTTTCAAATAACTCGGAACTCTCTTTAGATAATATAAACATTTTAAATCCTTTCATTAAAATTAATAATACCATAATATCTATATCCTTAAATATTTAAAATTTTTTAAATTATTATTTTTAATTTCTCTACCTATTATTAAATACAGAAATATATTTGTAACCAAAAAACAACGGCCAGAATTAGAAAAACCTATTAACGAAGAAATATTTTTAACAGAATTAAGAGACCGTTTAAACGAAATCCATAATGAATCGGGACGATCCATTTTAGAAGGGGGAGAGTTATCCAACCCGTGAAACGGTTCCACTTATGGAATTAATAAACAAATTTTTAAATTCAATTATCCAACCCACCACCAGAACCACCGAACCACGTACACGTGTCTTTTTGCTCGCCCTGCTGAAAGACTTCCAAAAATCTACAAAGTGACCATCAAAACTAAGAAAAATAGCGAACACACGCTGGCAGCAATGCCAAGGTCAACATCTCCTTTTGGTTAAAACTAAATTTAAAACCGATCTAGCTAATCAAAATCAATTAAAAATGTCGAACGCAAATAAAATATTAACAAGTGCAACCGGTAAAGCCACGAAGCCAAGACGCGATCGGCAACAAATACAACTAGACGAACGACGGCTGTCTTCTGCACGGAACAATGCTTACATTTCAATTGACTCATCGGAGGCAACAACAAAATCAACCGCTACCGAAAGAGCCTGCTCACTGTCACCAGCGATTTTATGCTCAAGCAGCGCTGCCGTTAATCAGTCGTGGAGTTCACAATGCCCGTCACCTCTCTCTCTAATCGATGCACTGACTACTTCGGCTTGTGCGCTCACCAGCACTGTACCCTCTCTTACTACAGCAACGTCAACGACAACAACAACTTTAACGTCTGCGGCTACACAGTGGCCTATCTCAACACCACAAGTAAAACTTAGCTCTACTGACCCTCTCTTACTACAGCAACGTCAACGACAACAACAACTTTAACGTCTGCGGCTACCCAGTGGCCTATCTCAACACCACAAGTAAAACTTAGCTCTACTGACCCTCTTACGAATAATACTCTCGTACAGACGGGGATCGATCGGTATGTACAAATAAAAAGAAAGCTTAGTCCACAAAAAAACGTAAACTCAAATTTGCCAAAAGTACCGAAAACTTTAGGCAACACACGAACATCCGAAAACCGATTTGCCATACATGGCGAGACCGAAGAAGACAAGGGTCAGGCGCCTCAAGTCATGAAAGCTGCAAAGCCACCGCCAATATATATGAGGAAACACAACAGTGTCGATCTGATCAATAAGCTTAAACAAGTAATCGGGCCTAACCACTTCTATATCAATACCCTAAAAAGAGGAAACATATTAGAAGCAAAACTCCAGGTTAACAACGAAGACAACTTCCGTTCTGTAACAAGATATCTCGACAATGAGCTTATAAATTACTACACTTACCAACTAAAAAGTAAGAAAGGCCTACTAGTTGTACTTAAAGGTATAGAATCGACTGTTGCGGTAGCAGAAATAGCTGAAGGCCTCACGGAAAATGGCTTCGACGTTAAGCACATCGTGAACATAGTGAACAGGGATAAAATTCCCCAACCACTGTTTATGATTGAGCTGGCCCCAGAGACGAAACCTCTAAAGAAAAATGCAGTGCATCCTATTTACAATCTGCAATATCTCCTTCACCGAAGAATCACCGTAGAGGAACCGCATAAGCGGAACGGCCCCGTACAGTGTACAAACTGCCAGGAGTTCGGGCATACAAGAACCTACTGCACCCTGCGACCAGTTTGTGCCGCCTGTGGAGATTTGCATTGCATTGAAGCATGCCTGGGAAACAAAGAAGACCCTACTCTGAGGAAATGCAGTAACTGTGGGGGAAATCATAATGCCAACTACCGGGGCTGTCCCGTCTACAAAGAACTCAAGAGCCGCCTAAATCAGAGACGCAGTAATCCATTCGCCGCTCAACACTCTGCCCAACCAAACATCTTCTCCCCATCAACAACCACTCCTGGTGTCTCCTTTGCCAACGCACTCCGCTACCCTGGAATCTCACAAACATCTACCGCCCAACGTGCAGCATTGCGTCCACAGCCACCCATACCAAACCTAAATGATTTTCCGCTCTTAAGACAAAATGGCCAAACAACAACTCAACCTTCTACGCAGCAAAACCAAACTCTTCCCCCACAAACACTTAGCGGTCTAGAATCTACACTGGCTACTCCTGCAAACGTCATGATGACGATTCAAAGTTCCCTTCAAGAACTACTGCGAAACCAGAGCCTTCTAATGGAACTGCTGATCAAACAAAAGTCTGTATAAATGGACTCCTTAAGAATATGCTTCTGGAACGCAAACGGCGTTTCCCGGCACAAAAACGAACTCCTACAGTTCCTAAACAGCCACAATATCGATATCATGCTACTTTCTAAAACCCATCTAACTAATAAAAACTACTTCCATATCATCGGATATATATTCCACGCGACCAACCACCCGGACGGTAAAGTACACGGAGGTACCGGTATACTCATAAAACATTCGCTACTAACTACCTGCAGGTCACATCCCTACGTATAAACCTAATTGGCGGCCCAATTACCCTATCCGCCATATATTGCCCCCCACGCTTCAGTATTGCAGAAAATGAGTTTATGAATTTCTACAACTCACTAGGACGCTGCTTTATAGCTGCCGGTGATTATAACGCAAAGCATCCCCACTGGGGATCTCTTCTTATCAACCCCAAAGGTCGCCAATTATACAACGCTATCATCACTCCTGGTAATACGCTTGACTTTGTCTCACCAGCTAGGCCTACATACTGGCCCACAGATCCAAATAAACAACCTGACATTATCGATTTCGCTGTTATTAGAAGAGTCTCGCACAGGCTGATAAACATAAAAACCTTAGAAGAGCTTACATCGGACCATTCGCCAGTTCTCCTCTGTCTATCTGAACAGCCGCAGCTTCTGGAACGCCCCCAACATCTAACATCAAACAAAACAAACTGGCTGAAGTACAAAAATTATGTAAGTGCACACATCGAACTTGATCTTGAAATTTCCTCTGAATCTGACATTGATAAGTCGCTTAAACACCTCACGGACGCCACCTCCTCTGCCGCCAAACATTCTACGCCAGAACCCTCATCCACAAACCCGCTAAGAACTGGACGCTCAAGTATCCAGATCGAGTCTCTCCTACTTGAAAAACGTAGACTTCGCAGAGACTGGCAGACTCATCGGTCCCCAGCTACTAAGAAAAGACTTAATGAAGCATCTCGAAAATTGTCGAAGGCCCTCTCTACCGAAAAGAACCAGGCCCAACGGGCCTACATTGCGAAACTATCCCCGACGGGTAATAAATTCCCACTATGGAGAGCTCACCCAAACATGCAACCACCAAACAGGTGCCTGGGTGAGCAGTGACGAAGAAAGAGCTAACACCTTTGCCCATCACTTGGAAAACGTCTTCAAGCCCCACCCGCCATCCAACCAATTCACTCTACCGAATGTCTCGCTAGCGTCGCCGTCCTCCCCAGTTACCCTTGAAACCAGCACAATACTTAAGGCTATTAAAGAACATATAAACCCAAAGAAAGCTCCTGGTCACGATTTTATTTCTCCAAAAATAATAATTGAATTACCTGCATGCGCAGTCAGATGCATCGCATTTATATTTAACTCAATATTGAAATGGGGCTACTTTCCTGACCAATGGAAAAAGTCTGTCATTACAATGATCCCGAAGCCAGGAAAAGACAAATCCCAGCCTTCCTCGTACCGGCCCATCAGTCTGCTCCCATGTCTATCAAAGCTATTTGAAAAACTGTTTCTCGTTCATCTAGTAACACATCTTCAAAACAACGGAACGATCCCTCTGCACCAATTTGGATTTAGGGAAAGGCATGGAACTATCGAACAGGTAAACCGCTTAACATCTGAAATTCGCACGGCTTTCGAACACAAGCAATATTGCAGTGCCTTATTTCTGGACGTATCACAAGCATTTGATCGCGTCTGGATCGACGGTCTGGTATACAAAATCAAAACCCTCCTACCGGAAAACACTCACAAGTTGCTTGAGTCATACCTCAGAAACAGAGTTTTCACCGTGAGATGTAAAACCTTTACTTCAACCATCCGTAACATCGAAGCTGGAGTACCCCAAGGAAGTGTGCTTGGTCCAATCTTGTACATCCTTTACACGGCAGACATTCCAACAAGCCGCCAGACCCTCATCTCAACCTTTGCTGACGACACTGCTATTGTCAGCCGCTCGAAATGCCCAAAAACAGCTACAGCCCATTTAAAAGAACACCT